TGTACATGTGTGTTTGTATGTTGTCATTATTGTTATGTGTTTATATAGATTTCCACAAACATACAATTGACACTTGTAGACTGCAAGAATGGAGGTTGCTCCATGTGAAATTTCATTGTCTGGTTATTTTCTACCTTACTTTTGACATTATTCATTGAGAAATATTGTATCAAATCAATCAAGCCATACTAAAGTTAGACTCTGTGTATTGTTTTCTTAAGTATCTCCATCAACAGCCTTATTTCAAACTTCTAAATTTTTCTAAACTATATTTCACAGTTTATTCTGTGTGTAAAAAAATAGTTTCTCACTTATAAATTTGTATATTACTGACTTGAATAAGCTGCATATGGCTTTCACTATTGACATTATATTTTGAAAGGCTAGAACAGTTATATTACTGGTTCTCCAAACCATTACAACATAAAAAAGATGGAAATCACCTTCTATCAGGAGACATATAATTTATCTATTAAAACTGCAAAAAAAACTACAGCTGAAAAATTATCTTGGTATGAATAAATGACTAAAGTATCAGAATTGCATTGCCTAGGTTCACTGATCTCTTACAAACGCTGTGCTAAAGGGGCAGACGATCCATCAAAGAGAATGAACACCTTCTAAGCATAGAATTTATCAAATAGGCCATCTTCAGTAGCAATTTTTCTTTGATTTTTGATCACTTTGGGTACGAAAAATGATGGGATTCACTAGAAACTTTTTCAGAATAAATTGCAGCCACTTAAGTGTAATATCTACAAGAGAAAAGTTAAACCAGAGAAGTCATTTCATTTATTTTTCTTTTTTAAGACTAGATACATGCACCTCATGGCATGAAGTATATGTCCCTGGGTCTTTTGATATTAGATAACATCAAAAACTATATGTTTTTCTGAATAAAACTGGTTCTGAATATTTTTAATTAACTTTATCTTTGCTGGACAAGTTAATTTTCTGGATATACTGAGTTAGCAATAGATTTGGTAGTAGAGTTGAAAAATAAACCATGTTTTTGCTCTATTGTTGTTTTTCTCATATTCAAAACACATGGAAAAATAATTTTTGTGCTCTGTTACCCAGTAGTCATCTTCAAAAGAAGTGCTTGAGTCCCTCTTTTTCTTACAAGTTACAATTCAAGGGAACCTATTTGAACAATGACTTTAATCTACATTAAATTTAAATAAATCTTTTAATATTCAGAGAGCCATTGTTAAACAAACTGACAATAACTGGAATGGGGCATAAGGTGAAGAAAGTGGTTAGCTATATTTTGCTCAACTCTGCAGAATTTTAATTATCGTATATTTTAATCTTTTAAGTAAAACTACATGAAAAAGTTGAATTTGTAAATAGTAGTAGTATTCATAGACAGGAATAAGATTTTGTATCTGTTGGAAGATATGGAGATGGGAGAGGATAAAGAAAAGTTAACAATTTTTTTTTTTTATATTTCCTTCATCACATGTATCAATTTTCCCTGTTAGGGATTTGGAAATTGTGGGCATTTTACATATTATAGTTCATTTATAATAGCCATAAAATACATTGAGTGTTGAACTTCTTCGAGTCATCATAAAAATGGAAAGAAACATTCCTAGATGAAAACTGCAAGCTTAAATCTCAACCTTGAGATACAACAAAATAAGCATATAATCAACCACTAAACAAAATAACACATAATCATTAATGATATCAAAAAGACCACAAATAAAACATTTGCATAAATGAAAATAGCCCAATTTATGCAAAACGGTACGTTTCTAAATGAAAATTTTCCCTTAGTAATGACTTTTTTAAACTACATAGGCACTTTACTAATACCAAGTTTCTATAACTTATGCATCATCAACGTTAAAGAATTAAAATAAAAACTTAGGACTGCCATGATTTTGGTGATGAGGAGCCTTTTTTTTGACTCAGCTGATCCAGCTGAAAGTCATTTAATAGCGGGAAACAGAACACAGCCGTAGATCAGCAGTTCTTAGCAAGAGCAATATTGTTCCCCAGAAGGCATGTGGCAATGTCTGTAGGTATTCTGGTTGTTGCAACTTTGGGTGGTGCTAGTAGCGACTAATGGATAGGGGGCAGAGATCCTGCTAAGTGTCTTACTCTAAAGAGGACAACAAAGAATTACCTGGCTCAAATGTCAAAAGGCTGAAAATCTCTGCTTTGGATGGAAAGACATATGGGTAAGAAGAAGAGGTTACCAGGAAGCATTCATTTTTTAGACAATGTGTCCCATCAAAACTTGAAGGAATATTTCAGGAAGTATTTTGGAAAGGCATTTATAAAGAATGGTCACTGTGGAGAATTATACACCTGACTTTCTAGCATTTATATGAGTTTTTGCAAAAGAAAATTGAAATAGAAACAGCTAGAGCCATAAAGTTTGATGAGTTGACAAAAAATATCTTTGTTCTCTAAACACTGAATGCAAAGTAACTGCAACTAGGAATACTGTGGATTCTGATGTGGACTTGAACGAACCAGCATAGAATGGTGAAACATACTGTGAAATAAGGACCATGAGAATGTAGGTCCTTAGGATGAGCTGCATCCATCTCTTGACTATAGTTTTCAGTGTACTAGAGAGAAAACAGGTCATTGATGCCAGACCCTGAGTGTTAGTTGTATATCATATATGTTTTGGCAGATACTTATACTAATGTTAGTTGCATTGAGGTCATTCCAATCTGTGGGTTCTTCTCTTTCAAATGATAATGTCAGCTACGGTCATAAAGCTCTGATATACAAAGACTCTTTCAGATAATACAACTCAATGATAGCTCCAGTCAATCAGACCCTCCTACATTTGCATCTCTAGTCCAATACTCCAAGTAGGTACACTAATAACTATTCCATTTACAAAATAATGTCTACACAGAATCTAATGGATTCTGAGTTTTCCTTAAAGTACATTTTTTTGAGAATGGGAAAGAGCAGGAAGAACTTTGGCTTATTTCAACACAATTGTCATACTACTGTGTATATAACCTATCTTTCTTTCTATGGCAACATGGCGTCCATGATGAGCAATGTATGGCAGGGAAAAGGAAAAAGTTAAGAGATGTGTTTCTACTTCAAGAAGAGGGAAAATGCCTTCTTATTGTGATTTGAAAAATGATGCAATGAAATCAGTCCTAACCCAAGGAGTATGTCCTAAGGATACAACAAAAATTATGTCTCATGTTTACTAAAATAACTTCCTAAGAATGTTAAACTCCATAAAGAAAATAATTTTCTTTTCAAAAACTATCCAACACAAGAACTTAAATATGTAGAATTTCATTTAAATAAGCCAGTCAACAATTTTTTATAAAGTATTTAACACTTCATTGTAGAAACATAGGCAAAATGACTATTATAACCAAAATGAAAAATACTGTTCAATTTAAAAAATGTACTTAAACAAGAACCTGGAAAAGTTTATGATATGCATAACATTGTTTCAAGCAAAATTGCACTAGTATTACATAAATCAATCGTTTATAAAGGCCTCAATATGGCAAAGTTTAGAAATAGGTAGTATGCATGCACATAGTACAACAAAAAGTCTCTTTATAAAACAGCTGTGTTTTTTTTTTTTAATGCTTGTACAAAGGGATAAAGAGCAACCACAAACATATTTCATCTGTTAATACATTATGACAGCTAAAAGTCAGTCATGTCTATCAGAGGAACAAAAAGCCCTCCATACCTTGTGAATAAATCTTTTGTGCCTTTAAAGATATTTGTATAAAAATGCTATACTTTTTTATACAACTTAAATAAATCGTATGTGTGTTTCAATTGAAATTTGAAAACAGACAAGTAAATGGGGTCCATGTGTTTTGTATAACCAGAAGAAATCAGAGTACCAGAGGAACTGGTCAGCATGTATACTCTCCACCTTTGATTATGGGCAGATAATTGTTTTTCCATAACTTGGAAAGTCCCTTAAGAATATATTTTGGATAGGGCAAATAATAGATTAGTCATATTGTATATTGAAAATATTTACTGATTACTCTATACCATAATGGCTGCCTTGCCTCTTCCTTTTGATCTGGCGAAGAGAATGCATTCACATAATTGAAACTGTGTTATCAATTTGTGTGCTTATATAGTATTCTTTAGTGTTCTGTGTGTTAAGGGGTTGGGTTAATCTTCCACAAAATGCACGTGACTGGGAAGAAATTCCTAAGACATGAGTGCCCAATGCCCTGTTGTGCTCTAGGCTGGCTATTTACCTCAGGACTGAGGGAAAACAAAATGTCTTCTCCCATAGCAAGTGTGTTCTTTCCACTTTTGATTATAATTTTGCTATGTTCTACTACCTAAATATAACTATTGTTTATAGGGTGTATACTTTTAGTATATCACAAGAGAGTCCACTAAATTTTGGAAAAAGTAGTCATATGTATTCATGCAAATTAATTTTATAAATTTTTAAAGTTTTTTGTCAAAATTCTCACTTGGCAACCTAAGACTAATTTCAAAGCTGGTTATGCTGAACTTGTGAGGGCTATATGTTTTCAGCAGTCTGAATCAGTCTTAATGGGCACAAAGAAGAGAGTTGGCCATTCAATCATTTTTCCATCAATTTAAACAGAAAATTAAATGATATTGTATTACAGCTTTCAGACCGTATAATGAAAAAGTGCAGAGATTATATTTGTTGATTAAGTAGAACCAAAAAAGTTCATATAAAATAGATTGCTCATATTCACACTACAAAGGAATATGTTGTTTTTAATTTTAACAAATTCAAAGGTGTCTTATCAGCAGCATTGGTGTAAATTGTACTGTAGTGCAGTTCTTTTTCATAAAAATACCATACAAATGGTCAATCAGTAGTCATCAGCAAAAAATAAAACCCAGAAAACTCAGAAAACAATTGACCAGAAAAAAGATAAAGGAAGAGGTAATGCTGATCCCAAAACAAGTATAATACTGTTGGAACATACAAAAGTAATCCTTACATTTTATACATTTATACAGTATATAAAAGGTATCACTCATTATGCCACTGTCTCTCTTATCCCAATTTCTATTTTCTTTGGAAGCAGTTCTTTCCTTTCATCAACACTTCCTAAGGAGTTTCGACAGTTTTGCCCATCCATATACAATTTCGCATATATCGGATTGGAGTAATTTGTTGGCTGAAGGAGAAAAATAAATATAGTTTTATTACCTGTTTTGACCACATGAATTTGTTATTTTCTATGATGTCTATCTTTTACTGTTAACAACATTTATATGCATTTCATTTAACTTACTAAATAGTAATTATATAAATGTAATTTAAATTCTGTTTACAGGCTTTCGTCGACTTTAGCATTGCTTTAGATAAAAACATAATTGTATGTCTTTCAGTTAACTTGTGAACCTAAGGGGAGCTTTGACATAATATTGAAAGCCTGAAGAAATCTTCATGAAAGCTATATTCACTGCGACTTTATTTAAAAGTACAGAACATTAAACCAAACTGTCTTATTTCCAGTCCATGTTTTCTCCCCTTAATGCTATTGCAGTGGCAGGAAAGATGTGCTGCCATCTTTTTGCTTGGTCATCTAACTGCTTGGTGCTTATAATTTTTCAATATGAAATTAAAAAAAAAAAGAAAAATGAAAGTAAACTACATTAGTTGTGTAAACTTTAAAAAATAAAGACAGTATTTTTGCTTCAAACAATCTCTATGTACTTATTATTGGAAATATTTTTGGATTCTTCTAAAGAATTGTGAAGGACACATTCATTCTAAGTTTCATAGATACTTGCATCACTTTGAGGTAGAATTGAGACATGCAGAAATGATCTCTTTCATTTGAAAAACATATACAATGTTTATTATTTTAATAGTTGCAACTTAACCTGAGGTTGTTACCTAGTTGGATTTTTTAAATTTTGTCTTTCCAAAATAGAATGTTAAATCTTAGTCATAACAAAGAAATATTATATTTTTTGAGCCATGCAAATGAGACAAACATGATAAAAAAATGAGAATGAAAAACAGTTGATGGGAGAGAGGTACAAGGGTGAGATCAATCCTAGGAATCTTGATACCTGTCTTTAATCCCTCTTCTTTCCAATATGAACCATGTAACTTTAGGCAAAGCACCTTTCTCTAGAAGCTAGTTACTTAAAAAGTTTTCAAGAATGGTTTCATACACCATTTCTAACTTCTCCATACAATGCCACATTTTGTATTATATTTTTATTTAAAAGGATATCAAATTTGTATATACTAAACAAAGCGTCTTAATAGAAAATAAACCAAGCCAAACATAAATTTAAACTATTCAGCTTAAATTTCTGGCTAGAGATTTCTGTTCTAACAATAGCAAATGCTCATGTTTACTGCTAAGGAGCTTTAACATTTTCAAATTTAGAAGAAGAGATATTCCTACTGAATAACTTGCCGAAAATAACATTTCATATATAATCTTGCATACGCAGGACACTTAAGCCCCCAATTTTAATGCTGTTCTGAAATCTTTTGTTAATTAAAAAATCATTAAAGATAAGCCCCTATCTAAGTCTAGTAATCATCTTTGATTGTGAGGAGTTCTGTGATGGAATGGGTATGGAATAATGAATTTTCTCTCACCCCAGCGGTTAGTGGTCCTTTCAAATCAGAGTTTAGGTAGCTGGGCAGCGCTGTGTGTGGAAGCTTGAAAGCACTGGTCCCTCCCCCTATATACCTGGGCTGTGTGTAAACAGAGAATTTTAGTTTCTGATCTAATATCATGGAACTGTTTTCATTGATATAAACTCATGTTAAGTCATAAAAATAACATAAGATATATTCTTCAGCCCTGGGGCATCAACATTGTGTTCATGGTAGTTTCAATAATTTATGAAATAACTATTAATATTAGATCTGTGATTCACAGATCATGAATTCATGAATCATCATTCACATTCACATCATGAATATATCAAACCATCGTAACAAGTGAATACTCTATGAAAAACACTTCATCATGAAGGTTGCTTTGGTGTGGCTACCTGCTTTTTAAAATCGTCTATATCTATAAATGTATTTTCTGCAGTTACTTCTTAGGCAACAATTCATATTTACATTTCAAACATCAGGACTCAGCTAGAATCAGCCATCTAAGTCACATTTAGTGTAATTTTGGTCAATCAGAAAATAAGTAAATATATATTTACTGAATGTTATTTGCTAAATACATTAAAAATATATTTGAGGGGCACTGAAGCATAGCTTTATCTTCTTAGAGTAAATATTTAAAAAATTAAATGGAATATTAAAAAGCTAGCCCCTTTAAGTATCCAAAATAGGCTTAGCTCTATCACTAGAAATAAAATGATGGGGAAAATGAGAACTCTCCCGCTCATAAAAAGTGTATAAGGTATATCCTCATCAGTTCATATTATATTTACAGACACTGTATTTTATTCCTAAGAAAAATTCATAGAATATGAGAAGTCTATTATTTAAGATGTCTTCCTCCTTTATAAATTATCAAACAACATGCACAGTTTGTTTAGTTTTTCAATTTCGAGTACAAAACACTGAAACTTAGGTTACCAGGGTTTATTTCACAAACAACTTCAAGTGTAGGAGTTAGTAACTGAATTAATAATTTAGAGTAACTAAAAAATTATTTCTAATGAGGAAAAAAGTATACAATATCTTCTGATAGGGTAAAAACTTATCTATGCAATAATGATTGATTTCTTTTCATAGAAATGAATACTTCTTCAGTTTCAGACCACCAATTTTAGGCTTAGAAAGTCTGGCCGTGGATTCAGAACTAGATTGAATATATGGGGACCTATTCAGTTTCTTTGGGAACAGCTGTTGCTATGAGTGCAAAGCCACGTGATCGTTGCGATTATTTAATATAATGGCGCATTTTGGACAAAATACCTTTAATACATCAGAATATAAATAACCATTTAATGGATGAACAAATAAGCTAAGAAAAATCATACCATACTAGCAAATTGATGCTCTTAATTCATTAATTCAATTGATGCTCTTAAAATATTCTATAATTATCATGCAAAATATTCCGATTATACAGTGAAGGGAATCTTTGCAAGTTTATCTAGATAGTTGTATCATTTATCTATTTCTTATGAAAGCTTCCAAACTGAGCATTCAGTAATATGAACTAATAGAAACTAAAAAAAGACTGTGGATTTTTAGGCTATATATATCAATGGTATGTCTCAAATCAATAAGAAGGATATTATAGTAGGTAGAAAAATATTGTTTAAAAGCGATTTGATCACAAACAAATCCAAGCACACAGCTTAGTGGACTCTTCAATAAAACATTATTGGAAATAAAGTACTTATTTTGGCAATGAAATACTGTACTCTTTTTGTTATTAAAAATAAATCAGTAATTTTACACTAGGCTGTATATTTAGATGTGCCAGCACCTCAACACATTTGAATAAGATATTATTTTAAATAAGCTATGTTTATAAACTAAGCGAATAAATAAATATTATTTTCCAAAACATGTTACATTAACTTTGTGCTTCAGGTGAATGCAGTCCACAATTTTAGTTTTTCTTTAGAAGAGCCTATAAAATTCAATGCATCCTAAAGTTCTTTAATCTAACTTCAGATAAAAGAAATAATGATGAAATTCAGAACCATTTTATGGAGAAATGACTCAAGAATGTTAGTGCTCACAGTGCATCATCTTAAAACTTTACCTTTGCTGGATCCACCATAAAGCCAGGATCTAAAAGACCTCCATCGCTGTGATCATGATCCACCTCATACATGTTGTAAGATGGATTGCCGATTTCTACATTTATTCCTCCATTGATAATAGGTTGTCTTCTTATAGTTTTCGTCCTAGAATAAGTGAACATTGTGTGAGTTATCTAAATATCACAATGTGGTGCATGAAACTGTCGTATTTGTAGATTTAATGACATTTTAATATAACTGATGGAACATTCTTAAATAAAATACACTGAAAATAAATGACATTTATTGATTCACAGATGAACAAAAACTCTGAATGTAATACATTATTTTCCCAAATTATTTAGATTTAACAATAAAAAATGCACTTGGAACATATTCCTTGTAAATAGCTAATACCACATTAGTTGAAACTGAATATTCACTAATCAATTGCCCTTTAAAATTCTACTTTCTCCCTTTCGTTCCTGAAAAACGTCTATAAAAAAATAGTGATAAACTTTCAATCCTCAAGTCATGTGGCTAAAATCCTCTTTTACATAATTCAAAAACGGACTCGTGGGGTTTCCCTGGTGGCGCAGTGGTTGAGAGTCCGCCTGCCAATGCAGGGGAAACGGGTTCGTGCCCCGGTCCGGGAAGATCCCACATGCCGCGGAGCGGCTGGGCCCGTGAGCCATGGCCGCTGAGCCTGCGCATCCGGAGCCTGTGCTCCGCAACGGGAGAGGCCACAACAGTGAGAGGCCCGTGTACCGCAAAAAACAAACAAACAAACCAAACCAAACCAAAACAAAAAAAAAACGGACTCACAAACTCTAGCTTCCAGATAATAACCCCACAGACAACTCACTCCTTATAGATCTTTTACCTGCATATTCAAATAAGTTGAAATAATGATACTTCCAGTAATATATAAAATCAACAAATATGTAATCTGTGAATAAAATGCACAATTTGTGACATACAATACATAGTCATTATCATTTTATTGACATTACTAATCTTACACATTAATATTATAAAATGCTCTTTAGAGACGCTTGCTATTTCAAGGAAAAACTACCACAAATGTAAAATTCTATTGAATGTTTAATAACTCCCTTGTTATTTTTGTTGGAATATGCAAATGCAGCCATTCCATCAATATAACATAAGGGAAAGGTTGTCTAAATTATAATCATTTAAAATGAAGTGGAGGGATAAAATGGTTCAAAAAACATAGAATTCAGCAGTTGGAATATGTAAATCATACTTTAAGAAATTTTCTTAAAAAAAATCAGTTTCTGTAACTATTTGTGTAATTTATTTACTGTTGGTCTAGAACCTTGCATCTTACCTTCGTTTTCTTTTACAAAGCACTAAACCAATTACCAAGGTGGTTATCAAAGTCACCAAGAGGACGAGAGGCACAATGATGGCTATGCTTCCTGAAAAAGAAATGAATGAATAGATGAACACATAAATAAAATGAAGACAAGATTGATATAACTGAACACTTTATTACACCAAATCATTTGACAATTGACATAATAAAAATAAAGCTTAGGCCAAATGTCTATATTCCTAGTTCATAACTACATTACTGGAAAATCACTTTCTTATTAAATACTTGATCTGCTGGAAATGTTTCTTCAGATATCTTTCCTTTATATGTTACCATTAAATACATTGAGGTTAGAAATACTGACTTCTTTGTCAATCTGACTCTGATTCTCACCAGACACATTTATTTGCAATGACATAAGTAAAGAAACTGTGACTGAACACACATTTCCACAATTTCCCTGGCCATATTTCCACCCTTAGTTTTTTTCCTTCAGCTATAAATACTCCCTGGCCATGAGTACATGTGGCAAGTTAGATGGCAGTCTGGTAAAACAAAAGGGGTAACAGTTTTGGATTTGGATGGACATAGGCCTAAATATCAGTTTCACCACCTACCTGAAGTGAGATCTTGGAAAAGTTATTTAAAATTTGAGGCTCATGCTCTTTACCTGTTAAAATAGAGACATGAAGACCTACCACATAGGGCTCTTAGCTTGATTCAACAAAATAGGGGGACAAAGTGGATTCTCTTTCTCAAATTCCAGTTCCAGAATATTTTCAGCAAACCACATTTAAGTGTTTGGCTTATGTTGTAAATGTCCACTTTCCCTCTTTATAAGAATGATCTAGGTTGTATCACTCATCTTCAAAATGGAATAACAGATCTATGGAATAGATTTTCAAAAGTGGTCATAGAAAGTGGATCTTAGTTTTTATGCAGCTGAGCATAGGGGAGAAGTAAAACTGAGGAGAAACTCTGCCCTGCTCTCCATTTCTAGGTTGGCAATAAGAGCAATCTTTTTTTTCTAAAGAAGAAGGAGACGATACCCTTTTACTGATGATGCGATCCACAGTAAGATACACCTAGGGTCATATGTCACTTATGCAGGAAGAAAACTGAATGCAAGCGTTGCCTAATAACAGGAGAGTATTAAGAAGCTCTATCAAGTACCTAAATCTCATGTTTCCAACAGACAAATATCTAGTGCCTATAAAGACAAGTCTTTGTCTATTTGGAATAAGTATCTCATTGATTCTGTCAAGTCAGTTTAATCATTGGCTAAACTGAGAAACACAGCAACACCCAAACTAATTGAAATTTAATGTGAGGATCTTGAATGGTTCAGGAATGAAACGTTAATAGTTATTAAATATATGAATTTTCCTCTGCATATACAGGTACATGTAAAATACTGTGGTAGAAATTAATGGTAATATTAAGCATGATAAGCAGCTGCTTAGGGTATTTAAAATAGAAATATAGATCAGTTTTAACAGCTCTAGCCACAGATATCCGTGTGAGGTAGTACATATCGCAGATCATTTACCAAAATACCAAAAAGTCTTTATTAAGGAAATGTCATATATAAGATAATCTTTCAATTTGGAACTTCAAAAATAACTTGACTAAAATGACCAAATAACTCTCTTCCATGCAAGAAAAAATATGGCTTGCCTTCTTTAGTCAGTTTCTGAAATGTAAACCTCATTTTATTTTTTTCATGCTGTTACCAGCACTATATGATTTAGTGAGTTTGATATTACATTACCTCCTTGGTTTTGGGAAAGTGAACTTTATATGAATGTGTAATTTATTAATAATTAATGTAAGTGGAGAATCTGGCACCTTGGATAGTAATTAACATTTGTTCACAAATTTTAAATACCAGTGAACAGCTTGATTTCTTCATAAACTGACTTCAACTGATTGATCACAACTTTATAAATATCCTCACTTCATCATTTATATTTTTTTCTGCTAAAATTTGTGGTAAATATGTAGGTTTAAAATATATATCAATACTAGCTTTAAGGTATATAAAGTTACTTTCCCCTCAAAGCAATTATAAATTATTTAGAATATTAGATTTTATTTGTTCTACATAGTTTCTTTTATTCTTATTAGGTAGAAATGCTGTTAATTATGCATGCTAGAAAACAAAGAACTTTGTTTTTCTTTTTCCCATGACAGATGGCAGTTCCAATCCCTCACATTACAGCCCTCTGTTTAAGAGCCTAGCATTCTTATAAGTTTATATAAACTATCAAGGTAACTGTGATAATGCTCAGTATAGCCAATAAATAATAAAGGGTGGCAATTTGGCAAGTTTTTCTTTATTTTTTGTAAATTAGTTTATATTCATAGAAACAACTAGCAAATATATATATTATTAGAATATAGTATAGATATTTATCAAAATAAGTATTTTTTCCAAGCAGTATATACGGCAGTAAACATCATATTGTAACATATAACAGTCAAGATCTATTGTAGGTGATATTTTTGATAGTATATTTTTGGTGGACTATCCTAAACAGATTAAAAAAAAAAAAGCACACTCTGAACTTGTTATTGGGTGGAGGGGAAATCTCAACAAACTTCTCACAGAAAATAGAGCCAGTCTTTCTTTGCCACGTTGTACTGTAGCCTCATTATATAATGCTTTTCCATTTGAAAGAAGAACTGTCTTATCAAATTGTTACGTTGAGGAGACCCCTTCAATGGGAGAGGCAGTACAGCATCACAGTTGATATAATAGATTCTGGAGCCAGGCTACCTCAAATTTGAACCTCAAAGGTCAAATCTCAGCTTACTAGCAACATGCGCTTGGGCAAATTTATATTCTTTGAGTTTACACATTTATAAAATGAGTGTTATCATTAATATATACCTCATAGTAATGTAAATAGAATTGTGTCTATTACACAGAAAGTGCTAATACATGTTTATTAACTAATTCAAAATACATATTGCCATATGACTCTGTGTATGCCTCTATGTATGCACTTTTCACCATATGTTGTAGAGATCAGTTTATTTGTAACTTGAGGGCATAAGCTATCTATCTTTGTTTTGCAGATAGCACAGTGCCTAGGATATCATAGGGACTATACATTCAGTTCTCATTTAGCAGATATATTTTAAGTGTTGCTATACTCCGCACACTCAACATTTACTCTACTTTGCACTGGGGATAGAAACGTCCCTCTTCTCATCTTGTTTGACGTATATTAGAAGATGACAAACACATGGGTTTATTTAGCACAGTGATAAGCACCACCCTAGTGAAAGTATGTATTGCTCTGAAAACATAGAGGAGTAGTATCCGGCTAGATCTGGGATAGAGGAGGACGACTGGTGTGCCTTTGAGACCTGAGGGATGAGTTCCATGAAAGAGAATGCAGGTTGAGAGGAGGAGGAGATATTGAATTAACCTAGGGAGAGAAATATGAAAACCTGGAGGAGAAAAGATCAAGGAACAGCAGTCTGAATGGAGAGTAGAGCAGAGGGTGGTAGAAGGAGATGTGGCTATAGAGGAAAGCAAAGGGGATGTTAGGAAGGGCTGTGTAAGCTACATAAATGAGCCGGGAATTTATGCTATTAAAAAACAGGATGATGTTGAAGGAAATTTAGGAAGTCATATCTATGGACTATATTGTCTAACTTAACTTAAAAAAGGAGGAAGGTTAAGAGTGACACTTAAGTGTTGCTTGGATAACCAGGTAGATTTTGCAGCTATGTGTATAGACAGGAAGGCAAAACAAGGTGTATAAAAATGGCTGGTTGAGTGGGAGAAGGGGATGAGATCATTTGGGGAAACACGGAACTTCAGATTCCTGTAGTATAGAGATATAGATATACAGATATAGACAGAGATGACATCAATATGGATACAGCAGTTGTGCAGTGGGATATGTGTCTCAGCCTCAGAAGAGAAACCAGGATTGAGGATAGAAATTTGGGAGTAATTAACGAAGAGTTGAAAACCGAGATCAAGGAATTATGGATTACCAAGGAGAATATATGTAGTGTGGGGAAACCAGCAGAGTTTACTATCATGAAAGTTAAAGAAAGAATTTTTTATTTATCGAAGTTATAGTAGAAAAATATAAGCATAAATTATATCATTACAATTGACCTCTTTTGACTTGCTGCTATATATTCTGCTCTTAAGTTTATGTTTACATATATGTATAAATGTGTGTGTCTCTATATATAGTGATTTGGATGATGTTTCTTAAGCATTTTGATAAACTGTTATTTTAAAAATCATAAAGAACATATCATGTTCCAAACTTAGCAAAGATTATCCTTCCAGTGATCTTTGAGAGGCTGCTTATCATCCTGGTCATGTATAATCATCCTCACTTTGTACCATTCTCACTCTTGTCCCCTTGGTGTCAGTACACTGATTTTCTTTCAATCCCTTGAACATGTTTAGCTTTTTCCTACTCTAGCGTTCTTGTATCTGCTGTTTCTTTTGTTTGAAATACACTTAGCGTCTCCCCCCCTTTTTAATCATTCAAGTCTGAGCTTAAGTATCACCATCTCAGAGAAATCACTCCTGACCTCAGTTCTGCCCTAACATTCTCTATTTCTGTGTCTTTTTTACTTCCTTCACAGATCCAATCAAGACTCATAATTATTTTCTACGTGTTTACTTATTTGCTTGCTTTCTTGTTTAACTATTTTTTTTATCCCTCTGGCACCTCGGTTTCATGAGAAGAGGCACTGACTATTTTTTTTTTTTTTTTTTGCTGTACACGGGCCTCTCACTGTTGTGGCCTCTCCCGTTGTGGAGCACAGGCTCCGGATGCGCAGGCTCAGCGGCCATGGCTCACAGGCCCAGCTGCTCCGTGGCATGTGGGATCCTCCCGGACCGGGGCACGAACCCGTGTCCCCTGCAACGGCAGGCGGACTCTCAACCACTGTGCCACCAGGGAAGCCCTGACTATCTTATTCACTGATTCATCCCTGGGATCTAGACATTACTTGACACTTAGTAGAGGCTCAATAAATACTTGCTTTTGGATAATTAGGACAGAGGCATTATTTTGTTGCATTTTTCTCTATATATTTGCAATTTATAGTTATATTTATAATTCCTTGGTATAACATAATTAATTTTTTTTCTGTTTTAAAACATGACAGTATAAAAGACATGAGGATAAAGTAGGAAAACAGAAGATATGAATAACCCCCTAACAGATGTCACATTTCTGTTGTCACTACAGTAAAATACAGCATCATTACATTACTGTCCCACAAATGCTGAGTATATTTTTATCCTCCTTAAATTTAGCAGATATGAATAGCATAATCCAAACATTGAGCATCCACTCCCTTAAAACTTCAGGTAAATCTAAAACAGGAGTATAAAATAAATATTTCATCATCCTTAGTTTAAAACTCTTCCAAATAACTTCAGAAAAGTTTCTGCTTTTTCAAGTGGAAACTAAGCAGAAAGTTCTAGAATAATAGATCCACTTAATTCCACAGGCAGGCTGATCTTTAGATACTTTAAACCGCAAGGGGCAGAGAACATCAGTATGACTACTCAGAGATGATTAAGAAAGACGCTCATCAATTAGAAAGGTAAATCTCGTGCCAGTTGATAGCAGTTAGGCTGAGAGAGGCAGTATATTCCTGATTGCGCCAAGGTCCAATGATTATGGAATGCTTCACTGTAAGTGGAAATGCAGATTTGAAAACACATTCCTAAAGTATCCATCTTTCTTATTGAACAGATTACTTTTGCCCAAGTTCGGGGAACATTTGACAACCATTCAAAACCACTGGAGTTTACCTGAGAAAATAAAAATAGCCCTCCTACCTTAGGAAGGATCAGTTTAACTACCTTTTCTCTCCTTTCAGAGTTACTGAGGCAAGTTTCTCTAAGCGCAAATGTCTGATAAGTACCTTTTAACATAGTCATTATGTGGTCAACTTTGCTCAAATCTGAGATAATTTGACATTTGCATAGCTAATAGCCCTTTCAATGTGCATTGATACTTCCATTAAATGTAATGACTTTAAATCAGTGATGGAAGAAAGAGCATCAGAATCTTTGGAAAAAGGGTTACAACTACTTGCAACTCCTCCTTCCATGTGATAGTTCCTATTTTAGAACTGTTGCATGTAATTAGAGGCATTTTTCTTATAAGGGAGCTTGTTGCCAATGCAAATGGTTGGCAACATCACCTTTCAATAAATACATCTGGCACACCCCTCCTTAAAATCATCTTCCAAACACGAAATTTTCCCTTGTAGATGGACCTTATATATAAATTGAAAATTCAATTGACATTCTACTCTGTTTCCTTCTTTCAGAAAATTTTATCAATATTTAAAATTGTTTTGATTCTCTAAAAGACTAAGTTTTTAATTTACCTTAGATAATTGAGAAGTTATCATAAAAGAAAGCCTAAAGTACCATGACTTCATTAATTCTCAACTTATTACTTCAGTATGTTCTACAGGTTGGTAACTCAAATGCATTTTTTCATTATAAAAATGCTCTTAATGATGGTTGAGTCTTATAACTGGTTCACAAAATCATATAAATTAGTATTCCTCCAGAATTGTTAGTACTAATGTCAGTATGATCCTGGAAGAGAGAGAAGAGAGTATTTTTTTTCTTTTGCTCTTCTTCTGCAATATCAAGTTAGGCAAGGTATATTTTCCCACATCTCCTATATTTTATGAATCAATTCCTCAAATCCTAGTGCCCTATTCCTACAACTAAGTGTCCATAGTTTTGCTACAGTATTCTCCCTTCCCTTCCTAAAGACAACACACAAATTCTAAGGTAACACCATACGCTCCATGACCAGAATCACGTATCTCACTTTTTCAAATGCAAAGACTCATTTCTAAGGTTATTTATTCTATACTTATTTGCCATTTTTCAAAGATGGTCATCCTTACTAGCCCAAGTTAATCTCTAAATGGTGGAACTTTAGACAATGTCACTTGAAGGATTTCAAGCAATGATAAATTATTTGGGGACAGGCACAACAAACAAGTAGATCAGCAAACACTGGGAGCCTATGTCTAAGGTACAAAAATCATATACTTTTGATTTTGATAATGTCTTTCTTTTTTCACAAATTCCATAGCATATTTTTTGTTTGTTTTCATGTATGCTCTCTCACCAGCAGTGAAAGACTAGAGAAAAATTGCTAAGTAAGCATTCATAAATCAGAGGTATTACTTTTTCTCTTCAAGAATATATTTACCCACTTGATAGTTATTCCAGACTTCTCAAAAATTTTCCACTCATTAGCGATAGTATGTGTGAATTGGGAAACTTTATGTAAGACTTTTGTTGTGAAAATCTTTATAAAATCATTTAAAATTGTTGGAACACACACACATAGACACAAAATATTGATGCAGATAAAATTTCATATCAGGGACCTGTCCTAAGACTACAGCTACACACACAAAAAAACTTGTAAAATGTTGCTACATTTTAATATACTTCAAAACCAGTACTTTAAAGATAAGGAAGGAATGAATCAACTATGCTCCTTATTAAAAATTGCTTGTTAACATACTTCATCACTTTGAGACTAATCAAGTTTGTTTTTCCACAACACACTGAATGCACTTCAAGAAAAATACTCTAATTAAAACATGAAATTACTTTTCTTCCCCAAGCATTCTCACATCCATTGTGATATTTGCAGACTTTGCAGCTGATGCACATTTCCGAAGAAAAGCTTAAGCTAGGTTTACAGATGTGTGTTCTGAAAACTGCCAAAGTTTGAGATGAACCCTCACAGCCTAAAAGCGCACATAACGCTGGATCCTGTCACCAGGTGAGAGCTCAGTGCTTCTTCTTTCAAAAAACATATGGATTGCAGATCTCTTGCAAAATTCCATAAAGGAGATTTTCCAAGACTCAATTCCCACAATAATGGTATAAAAAGAAAACAATGCTTTCTATACTGTGTGGAACACCCAAGATATTAATCTGAGAAACTTACTTGTGCTGATATGATCAGATTTGCTGCTCTTTGGGGCCGGCCTCTCACACTGTGTGCCTGACCAGTTGGTGGAACATCTAGAAAGATAAAAACAAACAAAAAAATCAGTGAGTAACAAAACCCACAAGTCTGCTAATGTAGTAACTTTAACCAAATGAAATGAAGGAAGAGCCTGCTATCACAGATTCATGAATTTTAGATAGAGATTTCTGCTAATTTCCTGCATATTGTCAGTATGCTGAGGGTAACTTCAATTGGACTTCACTTGTTAAAATACTTTTTAAAATTTAAAGTCATTTTTCTTTATTCTATGTTAAACTTAAAATTGGCATATTTTATAACAAAACTGAAATTTTAATTAAGAACTGAGATTAATTTGAGACGTACTGAAAATTATGCCACTATAAAAATTGAGTTTGCCTGTCAAGCAACTCCTTCTTTACTAAGTTTCTGTGATTTATTTTTTCTGGTTCTAAATTCAGAGTGGAACTAACAACCAAACAGCAAATGGTCATATGTCTCATAGTTCAAATTGCACAATTTTTACTCTTTTAATCAGAGACAGGGAAATATAGTGCTTTCCCATTTAAGATCATGCTTCTATTCCCATGAAATCAAGACAATATGCCCAAGTTTTCATTCAGAGAAGTTGTCTTTCCCATATAGGAACCATGACATTATGATGGGAAGTCTTGCAGAGGATTAAAATAATAGATTTGATTAAAATCCTTCATTTAAACATAAATCACAACCATATAATTAGCTGACTGTATCAAAATAAATGCTGGAATGGTTTTAGCTATGTTTGAACAATGTCTGCTGGCTAACACAAGATGCCTCCATGCATCTGTCAGAAGAAATCCATAGAGAAACAGTTTAATTGGCTTCAGTTCTTATTTAAAATGACTGTCAAATACCACCACATCACAAGTAGTTGTACACAGTAAAAGAACCGCTTCCAGAACTATTCCAAGTAGATATCTTTGGGCATGGTGGCCAAACTAAATAACTGCCATGGGTGGGTCTCTTCCAATTCTGTCATAGCCAATTCAAGTAGCTGAAGCTGTTTGGGAACCAGGCTTCTATGATGCCATGTGAATTATTTGTGGTATTTGTGAAGACAGTATCGGGTGTCCTAACACAAGGGCAAAATCTCATAAAATCATCATATTGACAAACTCAAGTTACAAAAAGAAAAATTTGTTTCATAAAAGCATACGTTAACTTCAGAATAATGGACAGCAATGTTACTATTCAAGAATATAGTTATTTGATTAATAATGATATTATAAAACTATGCGTATGGATCATGATTTCAATGAAAATTAATATCATTATATTATTATTAAGTCATCACTCATGCATTATCCTGATTTTTTATTTAGATCCTTTATAAAAAGCTTACATATATATTTTCTATACATCACATTTATTATATACCATACTACAAGTAAATCATTAAAATAGGTAAATAAATTTTAAGGCCAGGTGTATGATGCTGTCTGTATTACTGAAGTGAGGTAATGAAATGAGCATATTTCAAATAATTATAATAAAGTGAACAACCAATAAAATCATTGATTTAAAAAAATCTGTTTTCTCCCTTAGTTGTGGTTTTGCAGTTGAATGTTCTAGAAAATTGTTCCAGTTCTTCAGTTCCTAATTCTTGACACAGTCCAAAGATAATTCAAAATAAGATGTTTAGGCAGATTTTGCAAACATCATTAGAATGAATCCTAATCATTGCAAAAGTCTTTTTGTTCTTTGTAGCTTTACATTTGTCAAATTTTCTAATTGACCACTGAAGATATTTTACATGCTCCAGTGAAAAAAATAATACTGATTGCTTGGTAATTTTATTATATAACCGATGTGTACAAAGCTATTTTAAAATTAAAATATCAAAATTTGCTCTTTACATTACCTCCTTTGAAAAAACAACAGTAACAACAGCAACCTAAATCAGGTTCATGTTAAGCAAGAGAAATGATCTGAGATATATTTTGTTGTGTTAATAGAGATAAGAACATCTGGGGCTCATCATAACACTGAGATGCTTAGAAGTCAGAATATGGAATTGCTCAGGAATTGGAGGAATAAATGCTAATTGATAAGATGTTCTGATATGAGCATCATGTGTTTTAAGTATTTTAGGAAGTTATTAAAAATATGCCTTTAGAACTCCAGAAGGGCAGAGAGAGATTTTTAAACAAAGAAGATCAGGATACTGTGATTTTTATTCCAAACTCTGAAATTATTTAAGTAGGACAGGTGGTATTTATTAACAGTATTGAGTAATTTTCTGTTTTATTCATAGCTTGGAACCCAGTACGTATATTAGATAAAATATATCACTTGCTAGTGGTCGTGATGCTCCTCTCTTTTGCATTGTGGAAGCACACTTAACTTCTTAGCTTTCAGGGAATATTTTGTTTATTACATACTGGAAATAACTCTCAAAGACTGTGCTGGAGAAATAATTTTAACAGTTCTGCATCTTAATCAACTGATGATCACCTTGCAATTTTCCCTATACTCCTTATAAAATAATGCTTTATGGCCAAATATAAAATATGTTCCACTTGTCTACATTTGTTCCAGTTTTTTAAAAAAATAATCTCTTTTGAGATATTAAATCAAATAGAAGTCATTATTCTTGTTGCCTACCTTACAAAACTACAACTTAAGGCATTTGCTGCTCCACAAATACTTCCTCCAATAGTTGATTTAAGACCAAGTATTTTTACTGTCTTTATAGAAATTCATAAATCTTCATTCTCTGAGTAGACTACAGTGATCAAAGCCATTAATGGCAGATCATTTAAGAATTGAAATGTGTGTGTATCATCAAAATTTCCAGCCAAATTCCCCACTGAATTATTTGCATAATCATGCTGATTATAATAATTTCTGGCATCTGTGTCTTTGTCATTGTTCCTCAAGAAAAATCCGTAGTCCATGCCCTAGTCATCTTTAATCTGTACTGTTGCAATCTACTGCTCCCTGCTATTCATCCCTGGACAATTATCTTTGAGTTAGTCCTGCATGGTCCTCCCAAGAAATCTTATTTTTTTTCTTACCATCACAAACATCTGTATATCCTTCCTTTTAAATTTATTCTACAGTTATTTCCCCCACTGTGCTTTACCCTAGGACAATGAAAATCAGCTTCTTTTTCTTATGTGTTTGATCACTGTACCACTCTGAATTATTTAACTTTTTAAACACTTTTATGAATTTTGGATTCATGAAAGTATTGTTGGATCATGGATAGATAGGTAGATAGAAAGATAGATTCTTATTTATTCAAACAATTGTTTATCCTTCTCTTTTCACATTATCGTACGAAGATATTTGCTTCAAAAGCAGTCTTTTTGATTTCTCCCCTTCTCTCCAAGGCCAGTGACATTCAAAAGAAAGGTTGTTTATCGTTATATTGTTTTCCTAATCTTATTCTTCCTTTTATGTTCTAGGTTAGACTAATGATTATCAAACTGAAAAATGTGTTAAAGTTGAAATTCTGGAGGCCCATATACCAGAGATTTTCATTAAGCAGCTTGGAGCTGTGGCCAGAAATCTGCATTTTAACAAAGTGAGCCTGATGCAAATACTTCACATATCACACTTCAAGAGATATTTGAGATAAATTATTATGTTCCCACAGATTTTGTTCTTATACCAAATATTGTTCAATCATTTAAAAAAAATTTAGGATAGGAATAATAGTATGCATGTCCAGCAAGACTGTTCAAAAGGTTAAATGACATTGGTAGAAGTTCTTAACATAGTATCTGAAAGTAACTAAGTGGATTTTTGTTTGGGGTAACTAATTCTCATCTGAATGTTACTATATGAAATGCTTGGATAGTTAACTTATTGTGTTCTTTAACAGTGTGTGCAATTATTGTATAGTTACAATATTCTATATTTCAATTGTAATTTTCTGTAACAGGGGGAGTACCTTTGTGTAAAGGCAATAGTGTAGCATATATTACTAGGAAGCACAGTAAATATTTTTGGACTATCAAAATAAGTTTAGCATATATAAGGGAATAAATATATAATCTTTAAAAAGAAACAGTTTTTACAATACAAGCATAAATATAAGACATATAATTAAACTGTCCAAAACAATGAGAACTCTGAAGTAGCAGAGAGATTTTACAAAAGGAATTGAAATCAGATATAAAATACTGAAAGTGTATTAAAATCTTAGGTATTGTCTTTCACTGTAATAATGATCAACTTACGTGGACTACTCATGTCATTTTGTGGAAATGTCGTCTAGAGCCACTTGCTTTGGGAGGACTTCAAAATAAAATAATGAGATTAATATCTGCTTCCTCTTTTCATCAAATTTAAAGGTCATGGAACCCTTCTGACCAAAGTGGAATTCAAAGGTAAACCTTAAAGCAATTTGAAATTGAATTTCTCCTCTTACATGCTAGGCTGCCGTTATTAACTATGATGATGGAGACATTCAGAATGAAAAATCTTTTAATATACCCTTCTCTTTCTACACACAGGGGAAAAAAAATACGGCACAAGGGATTAAAGGAGCCTTAGAAAACTTGTGCAGAGTGCCATGCATGTTTCAGTGCTCCAAAAAGCTCATTCAATAAAAATAAAACTATGACTACATTTTGTGCATCAGATTTATAAAACAGTATTTTCATACAGTGATGAAAATTCAAACATTAAAAGTCAGTTGCAAATTTTTTTTTCTGATTAATTCTGAAAATTTCACTCTTTTGGTGGAAGAACATGACTACATTTGCATGGCATTCTTAACTTTAAAGCCTTACACCCTATGTAGCTCCCAGCACTTTTTTGCCCCCCTCTTCTTGCAGACTGCTGTATTGCAAAATGCAAAAAGTTTTATTGCATTTGGAAAGGATATTTATATATTAATTCACCAGTTTGTTAACTTGACTTTGAAACATTTTTTCATCTGTTATTGTTTCCCAATTTTCTGAGATAAAATTATTTCATATATACATAAAGATTTATAATTTTTTAACATGCTTCAAAAATTTTCTATCCTACCTTTGATATAATATTTTGCATAAAGTTCAAT